TGATGACGGGCCTCCTTGGGCCTCCCTGTGGCTGCAGCGCTCCAGCGCGGACCTCGGGAGGCCGGCGACAGGCCATAGAGCGGAGAGCTGGGGGCGGGGCTTGCTGCCACCGCCATTTTGCCAGCTCCTGGGCTCCTGGAGCAGTGCTCCGGCGTGCTCTGGCCCCAAAAGACCCCTGGTCACTGGGTGTCTGTTGTGGGGAGGGGAAGGGAAAGGAGATTGTAAGCTGCTCTGAGAATCCTTCGGGTAGTGAAGGGGCAGGGTATAAATCCAGTCTCCTCCTCCTCCTCCTAATTATCCAGGGAGTAAGAGTCCAGTAGAGGCTTGGAATTTCCATTGGTCCCAGGCTGTATACCAGTTCAGATGATCCATTGACATTGCCCATTAGCTACCTTCTGTTTATGTTTGAATCCAGTGGCACCTTTGAGACCAACAGAGTTTAATTCTGGGTATAAGCATGCATGCACACGAAAGCTTATACCCAGAATTAAACTTTGTTGGTCTTAGAGATGCCACTGGACTCAAACGTTGCTCTGTTGCTTCAGACCAGCACAGCTACCCACCAGAATCTATCTTCTATTTATGTGTTAGCCTGCTGATTATTAGCAGATGGTACTTAAAGTGGTGAAGAGGACCTGCTCCGATCCTTAGTGAAATATTTCAAGCAGGCTGTCATGCAATAGGTGTGCAGCTGTCAAATCCACCCTTGACAGGATTCCTGTCAATCAATAGCTGGTTTGTGCTTCGAAGCTATCCGCAGCCTCAAAAGGCTGCAGGCTTCAAGCTGCATGAGGCTCCCTGCTGGCCCCAGGATTAGCATACGTCTGTCTTTTAGGTTCACTAAGCCTGAGGGTGGGGAACACAATTCATTAATTTGAATTTGGGCAGAAAGATAAAGGAGTAGCTTAAGTCCCTTCCAATGTATTCTCTTACCTGTGGCTTGAGGGATGTGGGTGGGCTGGCCCTGCCAATAAATAGATAATTACAACATTGATAAGAGGGGCTTTCACCATCCTTCTGCAGGAAAGTGAGGATTTCTGCCTCCTAGTACTGAACAGATACTGAGTTGTGCAAGGTAGAGAATATCTTTTTCCCCTTCACAAGCTGGACTCTGCATGCCCGCATCATTTTCCTGCTGCACTGTTGTGCCAGCAAGGGTACATATAGTACAAATGCACAGTTGTGATAGAGAAGGGATGAGAAAACATAGTTTAGGGACCAGGAACGCTGTAGGTTGGATCCAGCCAGCTTTTCTGGTTACTGAAAATGGGAAGAAGTGGCTGTCCTTGACCGTCCAGAAGGCTGTGCTGGGGATCGTGGGCTCTGTATGAATAAAAACCATGTGAGATGGGATTTGTAATAAGGGAGGGCACTAGGTGAGGTTGAGTGAACAAGCTGGTTGGATCCAACCTTATGTTTAGGAAACCATTCACTTCTTTCACTTTAGTAAAAGTCCCAAATTCTGCTTCCCCTCTGGTAACTGCCATGGGGAAAAAATAAAGCAAGACTCTCTCTCTCTGTGTGTGTGTGTGTGTGTGTGTGTGTGTGTGTGTGTAGACTTCAGTGGTTTTCTGCAGGGGTCGTTTTGTAGAAAAAGAGCTAGGGGAACTCATTAGCATAACTCATTAGCATATACCACACCCCCTGACATCACCGAAAGTGTGTCATAAGGCCACACACCCCGCCCCCAACGGTCCCGGCCGCCGCCGCCAGCCTTGCAGCTCCACT